AAAAATCTGGATAAGTATAAAAATCAAATAAAAAAACAAAGTTTGATATCTTTCGAAATAAAATTAAATTCCGTTTGGATTCGCTGAAGCGAAAGCACGGAAAGGTTTCTTACGACAATTCAGTGCAATATTGAGTTTTGCATTCTATTTTTGCTTATTTCCTTTAATAAAGACGTCAATTTTCGTCAAAATTTTCAACAGGTTCATGGCTGCGGTTGTCAGCGTGCCAAACAGCTTTGGAAATGAAATAATATAAAAATAAATTACATTAAAATAAAGTATTATATGATATGGCGTTGGCCTCCAAAACAAAGCGTGTTGTGTTTTTATTTTATGATAAAATTTTAACTTTTTATACCTTGTGTTTTTTAATGTAACAGAACAAAGCCTATTGAGAACCATCAGAAAGTTTCAAAACACAGAATAATTATTAATTAATTAAATCAAAATATTTATACATGATTAATTTTGCGATAATTTTACAAATATTAGTTCCAAATTAGCTTTAAAATACTGTACTTAAATGTTAAACAAATTTAAACAAGTTAAAAAATATATAGATATTTTGTAAATAGTATATGTTTTCTAACAAAAATGATTTTTTGAAATAATTCACTTTTTCTTATTTTATACAATTTACAAAACACAACCTTAAAAAGTAAACACATTTATTTTATTTGATGAAAATATCCAGGTCAAAATAATTTAAATAAAATATTATTTGAACGATTGTGTCATTTTTTTTTTATATAATTTAGTTATAATTGTTTTGCCAAATCTTTATTTTATAACACTTGCGATATTCTAAGAAGATTTTCCCTTTAAGCCAATCATATCACGCCAGTTTCATTGTTCTTATTGAGTTTAGGTTAAATTCTGTAAGCTAAAGCGTCATTTTTACCAGTTTCACGATGAAATTAAATTGTAAATTGTAAACGATATTAATATATAAGTATATAACATTAGTATTTTAAAGATTTGTTGTACCAAGATTTTTTTTAATTTTAATTTTATCGCCCTAAAAAGCATCTTTAACTCGATTCTATTTACAAAATCAATTTTATAGTTTAAATTCTGAAGAACTGTTTTGCTAGCTATAACATAGTGTAAAATAAATTAATAATATATAAATAAAAGAAATAAAATATCGACTATTTTACAAAATATAATTATTTGTATTGCAAAAATGTGTTTTAAAGCCTAAAAAGTAGTTTTTTTGTAAAAAAAATCAATTTTATAACATAATTAAGGATATTTAAGATTTTGTTTACCAAGACTTTTAATGTGGTTTCTCGTCTTAAAAAGCTTTTTAACGCAATGCTATTTATAAAATTTATAGTTTAAAAAAGAATTTTTGTGAGAAGATACCAACTATTTTACTAAATATATATGTATTTTTTTAAGGTAATTTAAGTTTTATTAAAAAAATGTGATTTATAAATTTGGAAAAATTTATTTCTTAACAATGTGCGTTTAATTAAAAAATCTTTGTCTATTAATAAAAAATTGATATCAACAATTTCAAAGGATGCTAAGAAATGTTTTTTTGAGAAAATTGATATAAATGAGTAGATCATATATACTTATAACTATAGTTCCAATTTTCCCTACAACGGCAAAAATCGTAGGCTCATTTGGGAAATTTCTACTTGATACTGAAATCAGAACATTTAATTTAAATATAAAATGTTCAAAAATAAAATTTGAAGTTGCCAAAATATTATTTGATCTATCAGGTGATTACATGAAAAACTGTTAAATATTTACACAGTGTCGGGTTTTATTATGTAAAGAATCCGAAAAAAAATAATCAAAAAAATAATACAATGAAAAAAATGTTTACCCTAAAGCTAAAAAAACCGCAAATAAAACACACGTGTTTAAAAGTGCCAATAACCAAAAAGCAATAAATAGCGTTCTAAAACTATGCGACACTTTTATTGAGGTCGACCTTTTTAATTAAAATGTTTTTCAGAAAGTAAATAATCGGTGATGTTTATTGAAGACATTTCAAAATGTCGTTGGCAAATATTGGATAAGCTATAATTATGTTTCTCGATTTTTATGTAAGAATGTCATATTCTCGCACGGAAAATCGTTGAAGAATGAAGCTCATTCTTAAACGATTTTTGGTAACATTTAGTTTTTAAGTATTGGTACCCCCAAAATGTCAAACTGATTAATAACCTCAAATTCATTACTTTTATTGAAAATGAAGCCTTTATTATTGTTTTTGTAATATTAAGTTTGCTCCAACAATGCATTTTAATGCAAAATTTTAAGTTGAATGTAAAAAAGTGCAGTTCAGGTTGTACTTGTGCAGGATAACAAATATTGTCATTTTGTGTTGCCAACTGACATTTTGCGAGAAAAATCCCCTAACTAACAACGACCACAAAACAATTAAAAAAACCTAAATAAAAGTTAAAATCGAGAAAATAGTATAAATCACACGTTGCAGAAGGCTATTCTCGCACTCATTCGTTCGTCCACTCGCTCCTTCGTCGCTCGAGGCCAAATTTCGAATTCGTGCGAGAATATGTGGCCTTCTGCAACTTGTACTTTAATATACTATTATTTTCTTAAAAAAAAGTTTTATTTTACGTTCTCAGAGCACAGTATCTTTTTATTTCTTTTCTTCCATTTTTATTTAATATTATATTCTGTAACAAGTTTGGAGTACTCCGCTTGAGTGAAAAAGTTTGTCACATGAGCCGAAGGCGAGTTTGACGGTTTCACGAGAGCGGAATATGAAATTCCAAATGTTTTTCAGACCATACTTTTTCTACTTTTCCTAAAAATATCATATAGAAATAATTTGATTGGGACAAAGTGAGGTTCGATCGGTCAAAAGTTGTTAGATAATAAACACACAGATGTCGCCACCAGTGTTTATTTTGTCATTCAATATTTTCTGTAAAACTTTAAAGAATATATGTAATTCCACATTAAAAATCATATTCCGTAATAGGAGTAGAACAAATAGTTTCCCTTTAACGCGTTTTATTATGCAAAGGAATTATTTGCACCTCCACAAATCGATTATGGAGAGTTTCCACTGTAAACAACAACATCTCGATAACGATTTATGTATTTTCGTATAAATATACATCTACGTAATGATTGAAAATTTCCGATCATAACAACATAAAAACTGGCAAATACATAAAAATAACAATTTCAGCTTATGTATTGTTATCATATAAAGCTCCATTTCCAATGCGATGTGAATGAAAATTGTTATTGGGCAAATAACAGACAAACCCAAAAAAAAATAAAAAAAATCTCATCAAACACGAAATTGCAATTAACAAGGTTCCTGTAATAGATTCGTAGCATGCACAAATTACATGATCACGGTTTAAAAGCATGTTTAGTGTTTTCATTGAGATAAATCTATTCCTACGATGGTCTGGATAAAATTGAACCACTCGCAGACATAGAGTTCATGCATTATTTCTAATAGGCAAATTATTGATTATAACACGATTTCCCTCCTGAAAAATTTTAACAGATTTTGAAAACAGAGGTTAAAAAACGTACCCGTGTCACACCGTTTCACGAAATCACGTCATTTAAATTTTTTATACAGCTATTCTATTATTATTATTTTATCTTATACAGATATTTAATTCTCTATTTTGTTATAAATTTTTTTTTCTTCAAATATTGTATGTTTTTACAAATTTAAAATTATACTTAAAAAAATAATAATTTCTATTTAAATTTTGGATTTTTTTATCTTATATTCAATAACCCTGTATATGTATGTAATTAATGTTATATATTAATTTATTGAATACCTTTTGACATAAGATGTAACTGAAAAATATTTAAAAATATATGTTCCCAAAGATTTTGTGATACGCCACTGGTTACACACTTGTGTTCTGTGAGTACATATTGTTACCAACAATTTTTCTTGCAAAAAATAAATACAAAAGTTTTATGCCCTTAAAGCTCTAATACCCTTCTGTATTTATTTACTCATCCAGCTATAATAGCTGGCTAATAATTAGCTTAAGCAATGATTAGAAAATTTAGTACCTACCTATTTTAAAAACTCCATAACCACAAAATTAATTTTTTCATCGGTTTTTTTCTTTCTGTTTACTCAGATAAATTTAGGACAAGTTCACAGGTTAAACTTTTAACATTCAAATTGTGTAAATAAATCCAAAAGCACTTCCCTTAGTTAAGAATTTAAAATTTGAGCACATACCTGAAATTTGAAAAAAATGCATTAATTAATAATAACTTACCAGATTCTGTCATAAAAGTTGCCAGATTTTGTTTGAATTTACCTTCATTACAAAAATTAACAATTAATAAAACAATTTCCATTGTTGATTTTGTCATTTTTGTAATTAAGCTAAATTTAAACAAAATCTGGCAACTTTTTTTGACAGAATCTGGAAACGCTGGTTGTTACCAACCATAACATAATAAATTAAATTAGGCAACCAGATTATCCTAAAGTTCCTAGTCGAACAGTGGGGTACTTTTAGGTAGGATAAAGATTATTATATATTTTTTTTAAATTATTTTTAGAATTTAGAAAAAGTTTCAGGTGCTTCTTTGTGGACTACCCATTTTAATATATTACATTAATTACATAACACTCTGTATGTTGGAAAAAATTTTGTTCTTTTAATTTGACGATTATACATTGCTTTATAATCTATCACGACTTAAAAAACACCACTTAATATATTTCGTAAATGTGCAACACCCTGTATAAAATTTAAATCATTTTAAAATGTAGCTTTAATGGTTGTCCATTTATTCAGTAATTTTTTTTTAACATACAGTCCAGCTGGTATAACATTTTATTGGATCGCACTAAAAAAAATGACGTATCATTTTTTAAGTCTATTTTCAAAATCTGTAGAAATTTTTCATGGGAGGGAAAAAATCAAATTTTGTCGTACTGTGTAATCAATTGTCAATTAATTTTAATTTATTCAAAAAACTCATTTTTTTCTACTTTTTTTTTTCAGAGCGGTAGCAGCCTATCTACGCGCCCTCAACCTATCGCCCAACAATGCGGTCGTACACGGCAACCTGGCCTGCGTATACTACGAGCAAGGCCTCATCGATCTCGCTATCGACACCTATCGGCGCGCGATCGAACTACAACCTAACTTTCCCGACGCCTACTGTAACCTGGCCAACGCCCTCAAAGAGAAAGGCCAGGTGTCCGAGGCCGAAGAGTGTTACAACACGGCCTTGAGGCTGTGCCCGTCGCATGCCGACTCTTTGAACAACCTGGCGAACATCAAAAGAGAGCAGGGTTACATCGAAGAGGCTACGAGGTTGTATCTGAAAGCTTTGGAGGTGTTCCCGGAATTTGCCGCGGCTCACAGCAACTTGGCTTCAGTCTTACAGCAACAAGGCAAACTTACTGAAGCTTTAATGCATTATAAGGAAGCCATCCGCATACAACCGACGTTTGCCGATGCGTATTCCAACATGGGTAACACTTTGAAGGAAATGCAGGACGTATCGGGTGCGTTGCAGTGTTACTCGAGGGCTATACAGATAAACCCGGCGTTTGCCGATGCCCACAGTAATTTGGCTAGCATTCATAAAGACTCCGGTAATATTCCCGACGCCATACAATCGTATAGAACGGCTTTGAAGCTGAAGCCGGATTTCCCCGATGCTTACTGTAATTTGGCTCACTGTCTTCAGATTGTTTGCGATTGGACGGACTACGATGCGCGGATGAAGAAGTTGGTGAATATAGTTGCAGATCAGTTGGAGAAAAACCGTCTGCCTTCGGTGCATCCCCACCATTCGATGTTGTATCCATTATCGCACGAATTTAGAAAGGCTATCGCCGCCCGACATGCTAATCTGTGCTTGGAGAAGATTAATGTGCTCCACAAGCACCCGTTTAAATTCTCGATGGAGTTACAGAGTCGGAGGTTGCGTATCGGTTACGTGAGCAGCGATTTCGGTAATCACCCCACCTCGCATTTGATGCAGTCGGTTCCGGGTCTTCACGACCGTTCCAGGGTCGAAATTTTCTGCTACGCTTTGAGCCAGGACGACGGTACCACCTTCAGAAGCAAAATTTCGCGCGAAGCCGAGCACTTCATCGACCTATCCTCCGTGCCTTGCAACGGCAAGGCTGCCGATAGGATCTACGCGGACAAAATCGACATTCTCGTCAACATGAACGGTTACACGAAAGGCGCGCGCAACGAAATATTCGCTTTACGTCCGGCGCCGGTGCAGGTGATGTGGCTGGGGTATCCAGGAACTTCCGGCGCGAACTTCATGGACTACTTGATCACCGACGCCGTCACCTCGCCCGTCGAGGTCGCGAGCCAGTACAGCGAGAAGTTGGCGTACATGCCGTACACGTACTTCGTAGGGGATCACAAGCAGATGTTCCCGCATCTGAAGGAGCGGTTGATCGTCAGCGACAGGAGCGGAAACGGGTTGGCGGACAACGTCGCCATCATCAACGCGACGGATTTGTCGCCGCTGGTGGAGACTACCGATATCAAGGAAATCAAAGAGGTGAGTCGCAAAAAAATTCACGTCGATTGGATATTTCGTTTCTAATACTTATTTTCACCTTTAGATAACGATATTCAAATTTGAAATTTCAATTAATGTGTCAAATGTTATAAATTGTTTTTCTACAAGCCTACATGTCTTTTATACAAGCCCGTAAAATATTACAGGTCTGTTATAATGTATTATTTACTTGGATACAAAAACAACCAAATTAACTTATAAAATGTCATTTAGGAGGTGGAAATAAAATATATTAACATTGCTTAAAATAAAGTGCTCAACTTTGTGAGTTACTTATGCTCAAAATAACCAAATTGCCGAAAAAAAAATATATGTATATTACTACCGTTTCTTCCTCCAGCTCAAACATTATAATTTTTATGTTTGCCATGGCTCTGTGGCAGTGGAAGGAATTTAAAAATATATATTATATAATATATTTTAGTCACCAAAATGTTTATTTGAACATTAGTAAGTTTTCCAAAATTGAACACTTTGATTTTCAAAATAAAAGAAACCAAATCGGCTGATCTGAAATATGAAAATATTTGGAACAAAATTAAAAAAATATTACAAAAAATATGTATTTTTACCATACACAAGTGAGGAGTGATTTTTCAAAAGGTCGTATTTCCATTTGCAACAATTTTTCAAAAAAATGACCATAACCTGTATACAGTGTATAGGTTAGGGCAATATAGATTATTTAAAAAAAAAATCTGATGAATATTTAATAATACTACCATACCTTTGGGATTTTTGTCAAAAAATTACATTCAAGTAAAAATGGAAATAAGGCCTTTTGAAAAATCACTCCTCAAGTATTCTATAATATAATATATAATATAATATAGTATATACAGTGCTTGCAAATCCAAGTCCGACCGGTTTGGGAAGGACGCGTGAAAATAACAAGGATAGAACGCCAAACAGAAGGCGCTTACAATACGCACGCCTGACGCTCTGACCAATCAAATGCTGTTTGGCATTCTATCCTTATTCTTTTCACGCGGGTATTGAACAACCATCCTTCCCAACGCGGTCGGACTTGGATTTGCAAGCACTGTATATAGTGTATACAGGCGATTTCAATTTTAAAAATATTAATATTTCGCACCACCCTACTGGTCAGCTGCCCCGCCTGTCTCTGTCTTTTTATATAATTTTTTATTAATAATTAATTAAAAGGTAAAATAACTTTAAAAAAATATAAATTTGTTTAAAACGGTCAAATTATTGAGTAAGTAATAAAAATTTCAAAACATGGGTAATATTTCTATAAAACCTACAATACTTTAAAAATGTTTATCCAATTACTCATGGACAAGGGATAGGTTGGGGGGGGGGGGGTCGAGCGGAATATTATTTTGTTGGTTTAAATTTTTCCTAAACAAAAATTTTAGGTTTACATTTATAAATTTAAAATATTTTCAACTCTTATGTATTGAAAGGCGAAATTTACTAACAGTTCACTTCTGTATTAAACAATATTATTTTTAATCATTTCTGAATAAAAATATTTTCTCAAGTATAATTAATTTGTGCAAAATTTAGTAAATCATAAATAAATATTTAACAAGTGAGGAGTGATTTTTCAAAAGGTCGTATTTCCATTTGCAACAATTTTTCAAAAAAATGACCATAACCTGTATACAGTGTATAGGTTAGGGCAATATAGATTATTTAAATAAAAAATCTGATGAATATTTAATAATACTACCATACCTTTGGGATTTTTGTCAAAAAATTACATTCAAGTAAAAATGGAAATAAGGCCTTTTGAAAAATCACTCCTCAAGTATTCTACAGGGTGTCCGGGAAAAGGAGGTCAATCCGTTAACCATATATTCCTTGAGTTAAAACAATAAGACTTTCATAATACCATTTTTCAATTTAAAGCTTCATGTTCGATATACAGGGCGACAAAGTTTGAAATTTAAAACTGATTTTTTTTAATAATTCGAGTAATTTATAAGATATTAAGTTTAAATTCGGTACACTACTTCAATATAAATAGTTACATTTTTGGAGACCAACAAAACAAAAAACAATTGTCAAATAATCAAAGTAGGGGGGTCCAGTACTCACTGACTCCCCCTATTTTTTAGTACGAGCGCCAATGACTTCCAAACGGTATTTTTTTAGGTAACCATTTATTGTTAAAAATATTTTGTCTCTTATAAAATTTTGATAAAATGATTTGTTTTAGAGATAATTTGTAAAGTATGGGTCAGTCCATATCAAATCAACCAAAGGTTCTTCCCCCACCATCTCCGATTTTGATAATTTTTGGTAAATTTGTTTACCTCACTAAAAAACTCAAAAATCCCATATATGAATTTTTTTCGATAGGTGGCTTTTGTTTTATTGATTTTTGAAAATCAAAAAATTCCGATAAATTTGGGTCTTGCAAGTTACTTACAAAAATAGCGATATCTCGTAAACTATTAAAAGTAGAAAGGTCAGTGGTGGCTTATTTTAAAGGCCTATTAGAGACTTTTTTATGATATATCAGATGACCTAAACTTTTTCAAAAAAAAAATTAAATTTCGAAAAGTTGATATGGACTGACCCATACATTACAAATTATCTCTAAAACAAATCATTTTATCAAAATTTTATAAGAGACAAAAAATGTTCAACAATAAATGATTACCTGAAAAAATACCGTTTAGAAGTCATTGGCGCACGTACTAAAAAATAGGAGGAGTCAGTGAGTACTGGACCCCCCTATTTTGATTATTTGACAATTGTTTTTTGTTTTGTTGGTCTCCAAAAATGTAACTATTTATGTTGAAGTAGAATAACGAATTTAAACTTAATATCTTATAAATTACTCGAATTATTAAAAAAAATCAGTTTTAAATTTCAAACTTTCTCGCCCTGTATATCGAACATGAAGCTCTAAATTAAAAAATGGTATTATGAAAGTCCTATTGTTTTAACTCAAGGAATATATGGTTAACGGATTGACCTCCTTTTCCCGGACACCCTGTATAATATAATATAGTATATATATAGTGTATACAGGCGATTTCAATTTTAAAAATATTAATATTTCGCACCACCCTACTGGTCAGCTGCCCCGCCTGTCTCTGTCTTTTTATATAATTTTTTATTAATAATTAATTAAAAGGTAAAATAACTTTAAAAAAATATAAATTTGTTTAAAACGGTCAAATTATTGAGTAAGTAATAAAAATTTCAAAACATGGGTAATATTTCTATAAAACCTACAATAATGTTTATCCAATTACTCATGGACAAGGGATAGGTTGGGGGGGGGTCGAGCGGAATATTATTTTGTTGGTTTAAATTTTTCCTAAACAAAAATTTTAGGTTTACATTTATAAATTTAAAATATTTTCAACTCTTATGTATTGAAAGGCGAAATTTACTAACAGTTCACTTCTGTATTAAACAATATTATTTTTAATCATTTCTGAATAAAAATATTTTCTCAAGTATAATTAATTTGTGCAAAATTTTGTAAATCATAAATAAATATTTCATAAAATTATTTAGATTAAATTAAATTGGTAAAGTTAAATTTTTTGGTATTTAAAAATAGTATTGAGGCATTTAAAATATAAACACATATATTTTTTTTAACTTAAAATATTTTAAATATAAAATGCAACTGTAAAAGTTTAAGTTAAAAAATATTAATTTTTAAATATTGTAGATTTAATATTTTATTCTACAAAATTATCGGTTTAAATTTGTTAAGAGTCATTTAAATGATAGTCAATAATTCTCACCTATATACCTACAAACTTTTATTTTGAACAATTTTATGTACTTCTACATCAACGAGCTATGACTTGAGGCGTTTTAGTCACGGGTAGTCAACAGTAGCTTTTGGGCACTTTAGTCACGGGCTGAAGTTAGCTTTATTATAAATTGGGGAAAAGTGAGGTTAAATCCGTTGACATTTGACAGATGTCAAATGTTTAACAAACAAAATTGGCTTTAAATTCTTCTTTGTGTTCATCGTAGATAAAGTACTACTACTGCTAAGTAGCTTAAGAATATCATTAAAAATGGTTAAAACACGATATAGAACTTGAGAAAACCGCAATTTCTTTTAGGTCGTAAAGGCAATAAAACCTGTGGAAATCAGCCTGAAAGTGGCCGAGCTACCCACGACCACCCAGATCGAGAACATGATAGCCGAAGGCCACCTCCAGACGTCGCTCAACGGCGTGATGGTCCAAAACGGTCTGGCGACCACGCAAACCAACAACAAGGCGGCGACGGGCGAGGAGGTGCCCCAAAACATCGTGATCACGACCAGGCAGCAGTACGGCCTGCCGGACGACGCGGTGATCTACTGCAACTTCAATCAGCTGTACAAGATCGATCCCGTCACGCTGCACATGTGGGTGAACATTCTGAAGGCGGTGCCCAATGCGGTGCTGTGGCTGTTGAGGTTCCCCGCGGTCGGCGAGCCCAACTTGCAGGCTACCGCTCAAGCTTTGGGGCTACCACCAGGTAAGATTTTGGTTTTTTTTTCAGTTTTATGAAATTTGTGCGTTTTAAAATTAAAATATCTCCATTATTCTCAGCCTTACTTAGGAATACCAAAATACATTAAGGAATCTAAAAATATAATAATTATTCAAAATCAAAACCATAAGAACCTATTTTATAATGACAAAAAAAATTAACATTTAGAATTATTTAAGAGTGTTAAAACCAGAGTAGAATGTTAAAAATATGATTCTGAACGTTAAAAACAAATGTCAAAAAAATAAATGTGATTTTAAAAGCATCAAAACCACTATTTAAACTGTCAAAACCACAGCAAAAAATCAATTAATGAATGTTAAAAATATAATAATTAATAAAACGTCAAAACTATAAGAACTTATTTAATAATTCCAAAAATTTAACATTTTGAATTATTTAAGAGTGTTACAACCAGAGTAGAATGTTAAAAATATGATTCTGAATGTTAAAAACAAATTTTGGAATTTTAAGAATAGAAATGGGATTTTAAATTTTAAAATATCAAGAACACTATTTAAACTGTCAAAATCACAGCAAAAAAAAAATATGATTCTAAACGTTAAAAACACACTTTAGAATGTTAAAATTATAAATATATAAAAAAAATAATTTAAAACTAGTTTTAGAGTTATTTATTAATGCCAAACAAATTTAATATTTCGAATTATTTAAGAATGTTAAAACCAGAGTAGAACGTTAAACGTTAAAAAATGTCAAAAATGGAAATGGGATTTTAAAAATATCAAAAACACAATTTAAACTGTCAAAATCACTGCAAAAAATTAAAAATATGATTCTTAACGTTAAAAACACATTTTAGAATGTTAAATTTATATAAATATAAAAAATTTATTTGTAACTAGATTTTTATATAATTAAAAAAATGCATGTGTGCAAACTGTCTAAGTGAACTAATTTAATAATGCCAAAAAAATGTAAAATTATTTAAGAGTGTAAAAATATGATTCTGAACGTTAAAAACAAATTTTAGGATGTCAAAAATAGAAATGGGATTTTAAAAATGTTAAAATTACAGCAAAAAAATTAAAATTTGATTCTTAACGTTAAAAACACATTTTAGAATATTAAATTTATATAAATAGATCTATCAAAAAAAAATTTAAAACTAGTTTTTTAAATAACTATAAAATGCGTGTGGGCGATAAACAGTTAAAGTGAACTTATTTAATAATTCCAAAAAAATTTAACATTTTGAATTATTTAAGAGTAGAATGTTAAAAATATGATTCTGAACGTTAAAAACAAATTTTAGAACGTCAAAAATAGAAATGGTATTTTAAAAATATCAAAAACACTATTTTAACTGTCAAAATCACACCAAACAAAAAAAATTTTGATTCTAAACGTTAAAAACATATTTTAGAATGTTAAATTTAAGTGTTATATTAATTTAACACTAGTTTTTTAGATAATTAAAAAAATGCGCGTGAGCGACGAACAGTCAAAGTGAATGCGCCAACTAATTTAATAATGCCAAAAAAATAAGATTTGTTTTATTTAGCTTTTGGATTTTTTTTCAGTTTTATAAAATTTGTGCTTTTTTTAATTAAAATATCTAAATTAATCTCAGCCCAATTTAGGAATGTCAAAATAAATTAGGGAATGTTAAAAATATAATAGTTATTCAGAACTCAAAACCATAAGAACATATTTGATAATGACAAAAAAAATTAACATTTTGAATTATTTAAGAGTGTTAAAACCAGAGTAGAGTAGTAAAAAATATGATTCTGAACGTTAAAAACAAATTTTAGAATGTCAAAAATAGGAATGGGATTTAAAAAATAACAAAAACAGTATTTAAACAATCAAAACCACAGCAAAAAAATAATAATATGATTCTAAACGTTAAAAACACATTTTAGAATGTTAAATTTATATAAATATAAAAAAATTAAACTAGTTTTTTAGATAATTAAAAAAATGCGCGAGTCAAAGTGAACGCTGAAACTAATTTAATAATGCCAAAAAAATTAACATTTCGAATTATTTAAGAGTGTTTAAACCAGAGTGGAATGTTTAAAATATGATTCTTACCGTAAAAAACAAATTTTAGAATGTCAAAAATAGAAATTGCATTTTAACAATATTTAAAATGTCAGCAAAAAAAAAATTAAAATATAATTCTAAACGGTCAAAACACATTTGATTTCGAATTATTTCAGAGTATTAAAAAAACCAGAGTCGAATGTTAAAAATATGATTCTATGCGTTAAAAACAAATTTTAGAATGTTAAAAATAGAAATGGTATTTTAAAAATATCAAAAACACTATTAAAACGATAAAAAAATATAATTCTAAACGTTCCAAACACATTTTAGAATGTTAAATTTACAACACAAACTGCGTGCGATAAACATAATGCCAACAAATTTAATATTTCAAATTATTTAAAAGTGTTAAAACCAGATTAGAATGTTAAAAATATGATTCTAAACGTTAAAAACAAATTTTAGAATGTCAAAAATAGAAATAGGATTTTAATAATATCATAACCACATCAAGTAAAGTAAACGTGGCAACGTCGCAAACGTGACCACAATTGAAAATTTCGGGAAATGGTTGCAACTGACAGTTGTGCACCAAAAAAATAACTATTCCTTTACTAACGTAATCGTGGAAATGTTTTAGCATATTCTAGGGATCCTAAATTTATAATTGGCTTCATTGAGTAAAACAAAATAATTTAATGGATATATAATTGTTATGTTATAATTATATGGGGTTAAAAATATGTCTATATATTTTGAAAGTTTCAAATATAAGTTATTAAAAACGCAATAATTTTACCCTTGATGAAATATAGATGTGCAACAGAATCATAAATTTAAATCATAAAATGGTCAAAATTAACCGCCTCTCCTCCCTCGTTATAGAATCGGTAAAAATTATAAGAGACAAAACACGCGAAACAGAAAGAATAAAAAAGATAGGAAATACAATTTACATTGTTTCTTGGGATGAATAAAGTATTGCGTTATTTTCGCCCTATAAATATACTTATTTCCACCTTCTTAGTAAATAACATTTTATAGGTTAATTTTGTTGTTTTTGTATCCAAGTAAACGATACATTATGGGAACAGACCTGTAATATTTTACAGGCCTGCATATAAGACCTACAGTTTTACAGGCTTGTAGAAAAGCTGTTTATGAAATAAAATGTCACTTTTGACAAATTAATTAAAATTTTAAATTTGAAAATCGTTATCTAAAGGTGAAAATAAAAGTTTGTACTTGTCACTTCATCTTTACTAGGTTCACTGGATTATGGGGTTTGCTCCTGCGTCGCTCACCCCACAAAGTTCCAGCTCGCCTGTAAAGATTCATTTACAAAGCTTGACACGTAAATAACTATTATGTCGTCAAATTCTTGTATAGTATATTATAAACTGTTCAATTATTGCCTTCATAATTTATTATACTATTTTTCAAATTCGTTCTGGTAACTGTGTTTTACATGATTTAACAAAATAAAGTCCTACAGTTTTGTAACTTAGCAGTTGAAATCAGGGCATTTTCCGTGACAAATGTTTTAACCTTTTTTTTCATCTGAAAGAATCCATGTGATAAGTACAGGATATTCTTCCTTAGTAATGACATGTTTATCTTTGAAAAATTTGATCCCCAATAAAATTTGCACACAAAGACAAAAACAGTATCCTGACGCGGAACAACATGTTTGCAGGCAAAATAATCTTCAGCAACGTTGCTGCGAAAGAAGAGCACGTACGCAGAGGCCAGCTGGCCGACGTGTGCCTCGACACTCCTCTCTGCAACGGCCACACCACGAGCATGGACGTTTTGTGGACCGGCACCCCGGTCGTGACCTTGCCCGCGGAGACTCTGGCCAGCAGGGTGGCCGCCAGCCAGCTGCACACCATCGGCTGTCCGGAGTTGATCGCCAAGTCCAGGCAGGAGTACCAGGAGATCGCCATCAGGCTGGGAACAGACAAAGAATAGTAAGTGCAAGTTTTAGGCTACCTGCTTTTAAGTTTTCAGGCGTTTTTCCCACACCACAAAATTTTCAAGGTGTTCTTCTCTTCTTTCTTGGTTTCCAAAAGCCTTCATGGTCTCGGTTTCAATGTGTTTCACAAAGCTGGATCTTGGAACATGCACAAACTCTTTTGTACAAATCACAAAACACCTCGCTAAAAGGTTAAAACTTGCGATTTTGTCCAAAAATACAGGTATATTCTATACCCGAAATCCAATTTTGTCCCTACCAGGTCGAAGAGTCATCTATATTTCATACTTTTCATTGAGCGATCCGCACACTAGCACCAACAAAACCGAACTCCTTTTAAGATGTTGAAATTTAAAATTTTTCACTCGTCAAATCATTCCCTCAACGATGTTTATTTGCATCCCTCTCTTACTTATGCACAGCCACTTATTTCTTACGCCACGATCCCCTCTACGTTTGCGCGTCAAAGATTTTCTTGAACGGTTTCGAATTTTTCGTTGCCTGTGCGCGGTCTACTTCCGTTGGAGGCGCCAAAAGAAGTATGACTTAAAAAAGGGGTTTAATGAGTATGAGAACGTATGCCCCAACTTTCAGTTCTCATACGTATCCTGCAACTGCACTGCATTACCTGTGTCAGGAATCCCACACCTCCTAAACTCCTAAAATTGCCATCAATCTCCTAAAACTCCTAAAAATTAAATATAAATAGGCCAACCTGACTGCGTTTAATTAAGGTAGTTGTGCTAAAAAGAAATTAAAAAATATATATTCTTAGGTTCTAGTTTATTAAATTCTTTTTAAAATGATATATTACAACTTACAGTTTTCTTATAAAACAACAAAATTCGTTGGTTTTCGACAAAAATTTACCGTGTTATATATCAAACAAAAGGATTTTTAATATTCTTTTAAATGATAAATAGTAAACAATCTAAAAAATTTTTTCCTGTATTTTGCAAACTTCATATTTTTTCTATCATGAAATTTTTGAGTACCTATCAAGATCCACATGACAATTATTGTTAGTTAACTGAACATTTTTTTCTTAAAATATAAATATAAAATCATTTAACTTTGGCTTAGTTTTTTAGCTAAATCTATCGACGCGTTTTTTTTTAATAAAATTTAAAGTGTAGTGAAATTTCTACTTGTGTATACTTCAGATATATACAAAAGTAGTAATTTTACCTCACTATTAATTTTATTCAAAATTTATATTTTTGTTAAAAAGAATTATTTTTTATTTTTTAAGTTCAGTGTAGAGTTGTTTTTATTTAATTACAGAAATTCATTTGCATACTTTATTTCTCCTAAAATTTTACAAAAAACCTCCTAAATTCCTAAATGTGGGGGCCCTGTGTGTTTGATGGATCCGAATTTTCACCCCGGCTGGTAAATCTCTCCTAGGAGGTCGTAGATGACAGTTTCGATGGTTAAGGCCCGGGCCGTACGCCCGATTTAGGCTAGTGGACTGAGGGACAAGGATGGAAAACATTATGGTTTTCGGGGGACATTGTACTGACCCAAAACTAAGTTCAATCCGCAATCCTAAACCAGGGATTACCCCCATTCAATTGGGGTTCATGAATGGGGTTTGGGTGGTTAGTTCGCTGCTTGGACCTATCCTTGATGGTCTTGAAGTACTATATGTTCGTTTGCGTTCGTGTTTGCTGAAAACCGTTTCTTCAGTCTAGGGTCGTGAACCATCGATAGATAGTTTTCAGTAGTCGGCAATGTGACCACCAAAAGTTAACAATAGTTTTTTTTAATAACGAATTAAGCTAAATTTTCATGTATCCGTTTGTCAACTCCCGACAAGAAATGTTCTAATTTTCATGCATCCGTTTTTAAATGACGTTTAACGGATTGATTTAGCGACAAATAGAAATTAAGGGCCAGTATATTTACTTCACTAAATTTACCTTATGCTTAATTGTCATAGTTACAATTATGTCAACAATTGTAACTTTAACAGTTATCTGTGTAACAAATTTAAAGGTAGGTAAATATAACATATAAAAAGAGTATACCAGCCATAATATTCATTAAAATGTATAGTTTTGAAAAAGCAGGTCCTTTTAGTTCTGGTTTTGATATTTTTTTGTTTGTCTTTTCCTTTTTTCCGTTCTTCTTATTAAATAAAGACATAACAGTAGAACATTATTCACCTATCGATCGTAATTACTTCGTTTTACAATCATAATTAAAAAAATATTTAAAAAAAAATTGAAAATAAATTATCTTAAAATAACGTTAGGCGTCATAAACGGATCTGTAGTGACAAGTAAGTTAAAATTATTTTATCTATTTTGCGTTCATGACTTCATTATAACACCGCTTTCGGTGCTGTAAGGAGATGCTTTATCCCACCCAAAATTTCGATTTTATAGGTTGGCCATACTTTAAACAGCATAATATTTTTCATATTGGTTATAATATTTTTATGATTTTTCTAGTACTTACGAGAGTTTTCTGGCAATAAATTTTGTTTAACACCAAAAAAAATCCTTTTTTTCTTCTTTAACATTAACAGCCGCCTATTGTAAATAAGTAAATTAAGGACGGCATGGCGAATCGATTTTGACATTAACTGTCAAACGTCCATTACAAAACTCGCTCCTTCGTCGCTTGTTTTATAAATTGTCCGCGTGCGACAAAATGACGTCTTATGACATTAGTTCTATTATACTATTAACTTTCTCCGTCAAACGTACGAAGTTAAAATTTAACGGACCAATAAAATGTCATAATTTTCGAATTATAATTGGACCAATAAGAGCGCTTCCACATGATCGGGCTAACGGACAAACGGATACATGAAAATTAGGTTTTATGCGAAAATTATAGGAAAGTAAGTAGATACAAATTATTTGTCCCACTGTGCGTAAGCCTTGGCTTTATTTCAGTAAAGAATTATTAAAATAGTGGTATGTTGGCAATGCCAACTTGGCATGTTTATTGTTGATGTCTAGGTGACTGTATTGATTTATATTGCGAATAATTACGTTTGCTGTCCTGAGGGAATTCTCTTTTTCTTGTTTGGCTGTTTTGTTTTTCTGGTTTATATGCTTAAAAGACGCTTAACCTCTTCAAGAAAATGCAAGATTACTTTCTTAGTAGAGAATGCTGATTTCTTACATTTTTTACTTATTGTATTGCACTGCACTACTGTATTAGCGCTTTGCTGATTCTGTAAGACATCGGGAGACAGGTATCTTGATTTACCTGCACAGGAAGTAGCCTTGGGCTCAAATTGCGTACTACACTCACGTGCAAAATAATCGATCCACACAAATTTTCGATGAATTTTAATCGCAAATAACTTTTTTATTTGATGTCGGATTTAAACGAATATTAAAGAATATTGTAGATAAATTAATGGACAACCGCTCACATTTTAAAAAAATACTAAAAAATAGACGTACGTTTATAATATACAGGTTTAAACAAAAATATGTTTTTTACCATAAGTTTAAGACACTCTGTAGAGTGGCAAAACCGTATATTGTTCTAAATTAAGTTTTATTTATCAAGTCACATCTATTCTTAACAGTTTTGTTTTTGGTTCACCTCGATATATTTATTTTTGTGGAAAATATGGATTTTTTTTAAAAACATTGCAATTTCCAATATTTTTCTGTATGAAGAACTAAGGTTGCTGGTCCATCCATAGGCTATGGAGAATGACAGTGACAGTTTTGTTGAATCATACCATACTTGGACATGTTATACACTGCTTTCAAAAGCTATCAAATTGTTTTTTGCAAATTAATGATTAAATTTTGAGGTCTCTTCTTACTTTATAAAATGGATATGTCTCCGACTGATGTTGCCAGAGCTATTAATTTAATCCAGGATGGACGGTCACAGTATTACGTGGCAAGTGTTTTAAACGTCATAAGAAGTAAAGTACAAAGGGCAACATCAGTCGGAGACATTTTTAAAAGTAAGAAGACACCTCAAAATTAACACATTAATTTACAAAAAACAATTTGATAGCTTTTGAAAGCTGTATATGACATGTCCAAGTATGGGATGATTCAACAAAACTGTCACTGTCATCCTCCGTAGGCTATGGATGGACCATAGCAACCTTAGTTCTTCATACAGGAAAAATATTGGAAATTGCAATGTTTTTTTAAAAAAATCATATTTTCCACAAAAATAAATATATCGAGCTGAACCAAAAACAAAACTGTTAAGAATAGATGTGACTTGATAAATAAAACTTAATTTAGAACAATATACGGTTTTGCCACTCTACAGAGTGTCTTAAACTTATGGTAAAAAACATATTTTTGTTTAAACCTGTATATTATAAACGAACGTCTATTTTTTAGTATTTTTTTAAAATGTGAGCGGTTGTCCATTAATTTATCTACAATATTCTTTAATGTTTGTTTAAATCCGACATTAAATAAAAAAGTTATTTGCGATTGAAATTCATCGAAAATTTGTGTGGATCGATTATGTTGCACGTGAGTGTATATAGTATATACTATATACACTTAAAATTGCCCAACAAACTTAACTATACTGTGACCGATTTATTGTTACTGATAGGCTTTTACTCTTTAGAAGCGATCGCTTGCGCGTCTGCACCTTATGACGTCTCAAGACGTACTTAAAAAAAGTAGTTTAATTGAACAACATCGTTCTTTCTTTTTAGCTTAAAAGCAATGAGACACAAAGTGTGGACGGCCCGGTCCACGTCTCCATTGTTCGACTGCAAAATCTACGCACAGGGGCTCGAACTACTTTACCAAAAAATGTGGGAGCGTTTCGCCGCCGGTCACAAACCCGACCACATCACCGACACCACAGTCAACAAATTTCCGGCAGTCTGTCAGTAAATCGACTGCGCGCTGAATTTATCTCTTCTCTCAAATTATTTCGGTTTCTTTTATTATTAGGCATAGAACTTTTTTTTACTAGTGACTACTCGAGATGACTTGTGTATATTTTAGCTTAAGGTTGGAAGATGCGACTTGACTTGAGTCGCTGACACTTATTTATAAATATTATATATTTGTTTAAGTTACAAATAAATATTGGATGTTTATTTCCTCATGTCGTCTTTTTTTTACCTTATCAAATAGAAATGGAAATAATACAGGTAAGTAAGTAATATTATGCACAATCTTGTTTTTAAGGTAACTAATTATCATATCTCTTTTTAAACAAATATTATAAATATTACAAATTTAATATCCCATATGCAAAATATGCACGTCTCGCAAATACATTAATTAACTAAAGTTCTCACACAGAATAAAGTTTAAAATTAGCTAAATTTAAATTTAGTTACATAATGTGAAAACTTCGTGTATATTCCCATGTTTCGAATTAATTAGCTGCAGTATTCACAAATTGGTTTTTAAGGGTGAAATTTATTTGTTCATAAAGTTTTATATGGTTTTACATCTTTATAATTATGTGCTGTTTTACAAAGAAACTGAGCTGGAAGTATCTTGAAAAAAATATACTTAAAAAACTAACTTAGATACTAAAAGTATCTAAGATACTTTATCTTAGATACTTCTTATATTGGACAGAAAGTATCTTGATTACTTTGGAAAAGTATCTTGTAACTTGTATCTAAAAAAGTATCTAAGTTACTCGGTAAAGTAACTAAGTAACTTAGATACTTTAAAGTAACTAAGATACTTTTTAAAGTAACTTAAATACTTTTCAGTAAAACTTAGATACTTTATTAGAGAAAATTGGTGAATTCCAGAATGATTCAAACTAATTACCTAACCTACAACTTGTTGAATTTTATAGTTTTTATTTAAACTTAAAAGTAACTTAGTTACTAAAAAGTATCTTAGTTAGGTACTTAAAAGTATCTTAGTTACTCAAAAGTATCGTAGATACTTTCATATAGTATCTTAGATACTGTCGGATAGTATCTCAGATACTTTTTAAAGTATCTTGTAACTAAAGATAATTTTAAATCAAAGTATCTAGTAACTACTATTAGATACTACTAGTAGATACTTTTCAGGAGTAACTTTCCCAGCTCTGCAAAGAAATATATAAAAATAAAAAGTGCATTACATTTTACTATGAAAATGTTCTGAATTTTTACATGTCAAAATGCTTTGGTCACCGAAAATCATGTAAACAGTAGACCGGTATAGAATCAGCTTACACATTAGGGTGGACAACAATTGTAAGAAGAAGAAAAACATTGTTAATTATGTAATAATATTCATACCAAATGTGAACGTTTTGGGTCGCCATTTACTGGCCATTAATACTTGTTTCATATTATATTTCAAAGTGATTTTGTGTACCTGCAACGAGGTATTTTTTTTAATTAATTTATTTTGATCAGGTGAAATACTAATTTTGGTAGGTAGTAAGAGTTTTGAAAGTCTTACTTTCTTCTAAAAATTCAGATAAGACTTTATTAGTCGGAATAAGTCTTATTAAGTTAGACTATTAGCAAGTCTTCTGAAGAAGTGATTCTGACTTAATAAAACATTCACCAGAGGTCTATAGTCTATAATAAAACTAAATGAGTTTGACCTAAACTTTTATTCTGTTTTGATCTTTCTTAATTAAGTAGATATTACAGCTCAGGTTCCAGATTTTTAACTGCAATTAATTATTTTTTTCAATGTTAAAAGTCTAAAACCTATCCTCCGTGACTGTTACTCTTTCTAGGTTAACCTATATGTTTTCAAATATCCGAGGTAGTAAAAGCATACTAAAAATATCAGTAAATTAAACACATCCAAATATAAAATATTATTAAAAATTAAAAGAAATAATTTTTATGACCATTTATGTAGGTGTTACAAAAATTGATTCTATCCTCCGTGAATCTGTTTTTGCTTTAAATTTCATGCAACGGATGGCGCTTTAATCATTTTAAATAAGCAAAAACCTCTGTTTACGACATTATAGATGCATGTGATTCCTGAAGGTCAGTTAGAATTTATATGCAGATAAGAGTGTTGCTGTTTTATAATTCAAAAGTTTAAGTTTATTAATTTGCTATTTAAAACCTATCCACCGTGAAGTTTAATATTTCAGTAAGTAGATTTATTTATAAATATTTTATGTATGTACAATTGTATTTTTAAAAAATCTTAAGGTGTCAAAATATACAATAAGTTATTTCAAATATACAAAGGGATGTTTTAAAAAAACAGGAACACGCTCGTCATAGTGGATTTACCTGAAAAATGTCAAAAGGTCGTGAATTAAAAGTATATCATGTATATAGTAAGGAAAGGTAAATTTGAGAAAAATGGATTTAAATTGTTGAAAAGTCGTACAAAATCTGGTTTTGAACGTACACATTTTTAGTTACAGTTTTTTTATTCTGTTAGGTATTGGGAAAGAGATGGATAGTAAAGAAAGCGATAACTATAAAATTTATTTTCCAAGAAAGAAATGTGACTCTTGGATTTTTGTTGTACGATATTTGGTTTAATAAACTTTATATAAAATAAGTAATATGTCACATTAAAAACAAATTATTTTTTATAGTTCATCCCGAGGCATTAACAATTTTTGATTTTCCAAAAAGTAGAAGCTTTCCCAAAATAATCTTGGACATAACTCTTTCCTAGTATCTTGCTTAATATTGCTGGGACTGGTAATGTTTAAGTAGTTTATATTTCTCATGCCTTTTATGGGTTTCCATTTAGTTTGTGATATTTTTGGAACTCTAAAATAAAATTATTAATTACAGAGACATACAAATTTTTCAAACAGAAACCAGACTATATTTTTCCGAAAGATTTTGACCTACTTTGTTTTTCTTAAAAACCTGAGCTTCTTTAGATGTATAGTCTGATTTTAAAAAAGAAAGTTTAAAAATCGTACCCAGTTTTGGCAAAAGATACCAACATTTTGACCATGATAGGTATAAGTTTCATATCTTCCTCTGAAAATGTGTCTGTTTTGTCCCCATACAAAAACTTGGTGGTTACTCCATGACCAATACCTTTATAGTTCCAAAGAGGCATCATAACATCAGAGTCGTGGTTAAAAACATAATAATACACAGGGGATTCATTCATTTTTGAAATTTGTCTAGCTGATAGCTCTGCCCCATGCACGAAATGTCTATCAGTTAGTATCTGGAAGAAAAACATGTAATTTAGAAGTTTTTTTGCCTTTAACGTACTTTTAATAAATCCGCGAATGTCTCTTTGTTAAATTTCTTGTCTCCAATATATTGCTCCTTGATTTTTAATGCAATAGATTCCCATTTATGTTTGGCTATGGTATGGTTATAATCCAATACATAAGGAGCGATAGTGGGCCAGTTTTCATCCAGTATATCAATCTTTGGTAAAAGAACTAAAAAAACAATTGTATTTTCTTAACCGAATGCATTTTATAGTTACTAACAAACTCCAGGGAATATTCCTTCAACTGTTGTTGTGCTGACCATCCACGGTACATCCAAAGTGTCCTCTTGTTCACATACAATGGGATGTTTTGGTAGAAATTTATTTTTATTATTTTTATCATAAAAATTATTACTATCCTCAACTACAGGTGCAAATGGTGAAAAAGGGAACGTAACATTCTCATAGAAGTGACTTAATTTTTTCGTCAAAAACATCGCAGGTCTACTTTTTAAACACTTGATAACAGTTTTGGTATCTTCCAAGTGACTGCAACCAGATAATTCTGATAATTTCCTGAACTGTTCAGCAGGATTTTCATGTATAGCCCATGGGTTCATGGCTGTACCACTTTCAGAGTAAGCTCTGTGGAAAAGCCCTCTTGATAGAGGTGAAAACATGTGTAAATTAACACTAGCGCCTCCTGCTGAGAATCCTGCTATTGTAACTGAATCGGGGTTTCCCCCAAAGTCTGCGATATTCTCTTGTATCCATTTTAGAGCCAGAACTTGGTCTTTTAGACCGTAGTTGCCTGGGAGGTTGTTGTCGCCAGTACTAAGAAATCCTAGAAGTAAGCAATGTATTTTGTGGTATTTTTGTGAAAAAAATAAGTACCAAAAGGTCCCAATCTATAGTTAAATGCTACAAAGCATACATCTTCATCCATTAACATATCAGGTTGAGTTAAACACGTGCTACAAGCTATCATGAATCCTCCACCATGTATGAACGCTATTACATCCAATTTTTTGGATGATTTTAGCTTGTCCAGAGGGATGTATACGTTTATATATAAACAGTCCTCATTACCTATTTTCATATTATATAATATTTTTACTAGATTGTTTTTGATTTTTTGCCTTTAACCCCCGTTCCCATGGTACCTGAATATTGTATACAATGATGGTTTACGGTAGCATCCCATATTCCATTCCATGGTTCTGCTGGTTCAGGATCCTAACAATAAGTTGATAATGTGAAAAACCTTATTTAAAAAGTTATGTAAAACTTACTTTAAATCTCAAGTTCCCTATCGGCGGTTTTGCATATGGTATACCTTCAAAAGCAGCAAATTGTCTATCATTGTAAGATGTTCTAACATATCCTCGTATTTTTCCTAGTTTAATGTCTAATTTAGGTAGCTGTTCTGCATTACAAAGTAAAAATTTTATTTTATAAGTCACTAATAATATAAAAATTATGAGAATGCACCTCATTGCTACCAAATGCAATAATATTATGATAAAAATAATATATTTCCTTGGCTTATGTATATCAGTAAAAATAATGTTATATTATCTTATTGTTTGCATAAAAATTTCATTATGTTAAAAAAGGATAATATAAATTAAAAACCAAAAATATGCTAATAAAATTTATTTAATTTTAATCCTAAATCACTGGTTCTGTCGTCCCTTTCACATAATATATAATAACAAAAAATATTTATGTACAAATAATACAAATTTACATATTTACAACAAATTTCTTAACAAAACTATTACCTAAATAAATAAAAAACAATCATCAACAAGCTCAAATGCAAGCTTAAACATGCTTTAAACTGCACGCTGCTACCATAGTACACTCCATCATCGAGTATCTCCCTGAGACTCTGCGAGTAGCTGGCAACCTCGCCGCATTTTACCAGAGGGAGCTGGAACGAAGTTGGCCTTTCTGGTTGGTTGTTCTGCATGCTATCGGTGTTTACTTGACCGAGGAATAACAAACAGGAACCTTTATAGTCCATTTCTAGTTTCACTATATCGTATTGTACTGAAGGAAGGATTATTCCAAGCTGCATACATCCGTTGGTGGAGCTTAACTCCTTCGTTGGTTGTACCTTTGAGTTCCTTATTGGGGACAGTCAAAGTAAAGTGACCCGCTGCTGTTACGATGAATTTTGGGATCTTACAGAAAGGATCGGAGTAGAATTTGTGCTCTCCTATCCAGGTGGAGTCCTCGGAGTAAAAGGAGAATCTCCTGGTTAAATATAAGCCCAGAGGTCTAACCTCGCAACGCGTTGAAGTCCATTCCCCATAAATATATGGAGGTAAATGTGGTTTTTCTATTAGGTGAGGTGGTGTTTTATTGTTAGTGAAGGTACTACTCGGAAAACCAGCCCCACTTTTAATGACGTACGAATGCCTATTAATCGAAACCATTTCACCTTTGACCTGTTTGATTAAAGGTAGTTGAAAACTTGTTGGTATATGGTTCTCCCTCTCCCTATAGTTTGTATTTATATCCCCCAAAAGTAACTCAGCTCTTATCTGTCTGGGGTACTTCCTAGGCTTCAATTTCTTCATAATCGGGCGAAGTTGTATCTTCAGAAGCCTCAGCTCGTTGAAAGCCCACTTTAAGGCTCCCAAACACGATATATCTCCATAACTGTGGTGTATATTGCGGTTCAAGTCATGGTGGTTATTCAGAACGTAGCGGGGTTCCCATAAGTTGTACGTTTTACGTTTTTCCTCGAAAGCCGAGTCGAACACCACGTGTTTTTCGTATCGACGCCATGTTTTCCATTATTGGCCTGAAGAGATAAAAGAAACCAGATAAAGCTAGGAGTTTAGTTCGCCTGCTAATACATAAATTTACTGGGTTACTTTGGTTGAGCAACGTAATATCAAAATAGACTTTTACCTGGACTTTCCATGGCGACTACTCTGTTCATATCCCTAGCTGCATTATTATATTGCGGTATGCCGCTGATATTGGTTACTTTCATGATGCCACTGGCATAAAATTTGCATTATATTAAAAAAGGATAATATACATTAAAAAACAAAAATATGCTTATAAAATTTATTTAATCTTAATCCTAAATCACTGGTTCTGTCGTCCCTTTAACATAATATATAATAACATAAAATATTTATGTACAAATAATACAAATTTACATATTTACAACAAATTTCTTAACAAAACTATTAACTAAATAAATAAAAAACAATCATCAACAAGCTCAAATGCAAGCTTAAACATGCTTTAAACTGCACGCTGCTACCATAGTACACTCCATCATCGAGTATCTCCCTGAGACTCTGCGAGTAGCTGGCAACCTCGCCGCATTTTACCAGAGGGAGCTGGAACGAAGTTGGTCTTTCTGGTTGGTTGTTCTGCATGCTATCGGTGTGTACTTGACCAAGGAATAACAAACAGGAACCTTTATAGTCCATTTCTAGTTTCACTATATCGTATTGTACTGAAGGAAGGATTATTCCAAGCTGCATACATCCGTTGGTGGAGCTTAACTCCTTCGTTGGTTGTACCTTTGAGTTCCTTATTGGGGACAGTCAAAGTAAAGTGACCCGCTGCTGTTACGATGAATTTTGGGATCTTACAGAAAGGATCGGAGTAGAATTTGTGCTCTCCTATCCAGGTGGAGTCCTCGGAGTAAAAGGAGAATCTCCTGGTTAAATATAAGCCCAGAGGTCTAACCTCGCAACGCGTTGAAGTCCATTCCCCATAAATATATGGAGGTAAATGTGGTTTTTCTATTAGGTGAGGTGGTGTTTTATTGTTAGTGAAGGTACTACTCGGAAAACCAGCCCCACTTTTAATGACGTACGAATGCCTATTAATCGAAACCATTTCACCTTTGACCTGTTTGATTAAAGGTAGTTGAAAACTTGTTGGTATATGGTTCTCCCTCTCCCTATAGTTTGTATGTATATCCCCCAAAAGTAACTCAGCTCTCATCTGTCTGGGGTACTTCCTAGGCTTCAATTTCTCCATAATCGGGCGAAGTTGTATCTTCAGAAGCCTCAGCTCGTTGAAAGCCTACTTCAAGGCTCCCAAACACGATATATCTCCATAACTGTGGTGTATATTGCGGTTCAAGTCATGGTGGTTATTCAGAACGTAGCGGGGTTCCCATAAGTTGTAGGTTTTACGTTTTTCCTCGAAAGCCGAGTCGTACACTACGTGTCTTTCGTAATGTAATATTAAAATAGACTTTTACCTGGACTTTCCATGGCGACTACTGTCCATATCCCTAGCTGCTTTATTATATTGCGGTATGCCGCTGATATTGGTTACTTACCACTGGCATAAAATTTGCATTATATTAAAAAAGGATAATATAAATTAAAAACAAAAAATAAGTTAATACAATTTATTTAATCTTAATCCTAAATCACTGGTTCTGTCGTCCCTTTCACATAATATATAATAACATAAAATATTTATGTACAAATAATACAAATTTACATATTTACAACAAATTTCTTAACAAAACTATTACCTAAATAAATAAAAAACAATCATCAACAAGCTCAAATGCAAGCTTAAACATGCTTTAAACTGCACGCTGCTACCATAGTACACTCCATCATCGAGTATCTCCCTGAGACTCTGCGAGTAGCTGGCAACTTCGCCGCATTTTACCAGAGGGAGCTGGAACGAAGTTGGTCTTTCTGGTTGGTTGTTCTGCATGCTATCGGTGTGAACTTGGCCGAGGAATAACAAACAGGAACCTTTATAGTCCATTTCCAGTTTCACTATATCGTATTGTACTGAAGGAAGGATTATTCCAAGCTGCATACATCCGTTGGTGGAGCTTAACTCCTTGGGGACGTTCACTTCCCATTCGTCCACTCCACACACGCCTGGAAGACGTAGGTCGTAGATCATACGTTGGTCTAGGACTGTGAGAGAGGCCTTCTCGATTTGGAAGTCGATGTTGGTTGTACCTTTCAGTTCCTTATTGGGGACGGTCAAAGTAAAGTGACCCGCTGCTGTTACGATGAATTTGGGGATCTTGCAGAAAGGATCGGAGTAGAATTTATGTTCTCCTATCCAGGTGGAGTCCTCGGAGTAAAAGGAGAATCTCCTGGTTAAATATAAGCCCAGAGGTCTAACTTCGCAACGCGTTGAAGTCCATTCCCCATAAATATACGGAGGTAAATGTGGTTTTTCTATTAGGTGAGGTGGTGTTTTATTGTTAATGAAGGTACTACTCGGAAAACCAGCCCCACTTTTAATGACGTACGAATGCCTATTAATCGAAACCATTTCACCTTTGACCTGTTTGATTAAAGGTAGTTGAAAACTAGTTGGTATATGGTTCTCCCTCTCCCTATAGTTTGTATGTATATCCCCCAAAAGTAACTCAGCTCTCATCTGTCTGGGGTACTTCCTAGGCTTCAATTTCTCCATAATCGGGCGAAGTTGTATCTTCAGAAGCCTCAGCTCGTTGAAAACCCACTTCAAGGCTCCCAAACACGATATATCCCCATAACTGTGGTGTATATTGCGGTTCAAGTCATGGTGGTTATTCAGAACGTAGCGGGGTTCCCATAAGTTGTACGTTTTACGTTTTTCCTCGAAAGCCGAGTCGAACACCACGTGTTCTTCGTAACGACGCCATGTTTTCCATTCTTGGCCTGAAAAGATAAAAATAACGTATTTAGTAAGCTTTTTATTAATGACAAACATTCAGTAGTGAGCAACGTAACATCAAAATAGACTTTTACCTGGACATTCCATAGCGACAACTCTGTCCATCTCCCTAGCTGCATTATTATCTTGCGGTATGACGCTGATGTTGGTTACTTTCATGATGCCACTTGCTGCCTCTGGTTGCATCAGCGATGTTCTGAGTTGAAGTCTTCCATGGGAGAACACGGAAAATTGGGGGGACGAGCACGAATCGTCGTAGTAATGGTGTTGGACTAAATAGTAGTTGCCATCCATATCGAATGTGTAGGACCGTAGGACGTATTCTGGACCTGGACGAGTTTCACAACTGAAAATATGAGAAGAGAAAATTAGTATAAGCATTTTAGATGAGGTTTAGGTAATTATGAAATTAATACACAATAGGTTGGAGGATGTTATGTAAATTGATATTTTTATGGTCAATAAAGCTCAAGTTACCTAAATCCATAACAATTCCTAAATAACTATAAAGTTATAATGGTGAGAACTAAAACTTTTAAACTATTAAAAGAAAACATATAAAGTACACCATTGTAAAGAATTTCAAATATTATTGAACATTTCGGAAACTAAATACCATCATTTATTACTCAATATATCTCAAATTTCAATATAGAATCCGTAAAAATGCAGTTAAAACGGCATCATGTTGCTCCGATTTTTATTTATCGTCCACCTGCAGTTGGTAGGTAGTTGGACAAATTTTCGTTAAATGTACATTTGCTGTCCCCAGCTAATTTTATTTTTATTTTTGACCTTTGTTGATAAGTTTTGTATTTATTATATTTAAATACCCCCTTCCTGTTAGGACCCATCGTATTTTTCTTTTAATTACTTTATATTTCTATATATATATATGGCAGAAAAACTAGGTGAAATGTCCTGTAACCTAACTGTCCCCAGAGGCGATTTTTTAATTTAAATTATTATATTTTTCTTCTTTGCAGCTTTGTTCAAAAAATAAATTATTTTTGAACAATGGAAAGTTCTTTTATTCGTATATAAAAATAAAATAATTTTCTACAAAGTAGTTTAAACTGAAAAAAATATTAAAGTTGACATTCAAAAATCTTGTCTTTTTCCTAACGTCGTATTCTATGCCGACTGCTTCAAAATAGAGACACGAGATAGAGATACTATCGTGTTATTTGTAGAGGGCATACATGTTTGATAGTTCGGCAACAACAAGTGAGCACGTGTGAATTTTTTTGTAAATATTTTAATGGTAAGATTTTTTTGCGTACACTTTTGGTGTCTTTTACAAAACGCTACATACAACTCTTGTTTTAGAAGTTAACTTTTTTATATTCATTTTGTATTAAAGCATAGTAGAAATTCCAAACAAATGCCGAAAGATATTTACATTTAACAGTATTTCTGAAAAATAACGTTTGAAAAAGTCAAAAACAATGTGTCATAAAACGTTCAGGAAGATGCGTTAGGAGGAGGACAATGTTTCATTTCTTCCTTGTCTTCCTTCCCTATTTCAGATTAACCCTATAAGTTTTATTTCTATAAAGTTTATTTTGTGTTATTTATAAACTTATAGAATTTTTTTGCAGTATATTACACTGTTCTATCACAAAGGAAAAAAAATCGATCAAATTGACCTGCCTGGACAAAATATGTATACAAAATGTACATTTAACGAAAATTCGCCCAATTATGAAATTAATACACAATAGGTTATGTAAATTGATATTTTTATGGTCAATAAAGCTCAAGTTACCTTAATCTATAACAATTCCTAAATAACTATAAAGTTATAATGGTGAGAACAAAAACTTTTTAACTTTTAAAAGAAAACATATAAAGTACACCATTGTAAAGAATTTCAAATATTATTGAACATTTCGGAAACTAAATACCATCATTTATAACTCAATATATCTCAAATTTCAATATAGAATCCGTAAAAATGCAGTTAAAACGGCATCATGTTGCTTCGATTTTTATTTATCGTCCACCTGCAGTTGGTAGTTGCCTACAATAAAGTTTGTCGTTGTCACAACAGTCTGGACTTTCTAAAAGTAGAGATGTTCGCGATAAGCGGGCCCAGCAGTCGACTAAAGACAACAATGCGTTTTAATGGCCACGATAAATTTATGTCAAATTTAGAGATTTTAGGTTCAGGTAAATGCATCTGCGGCCTTTTCGGTTTCGTATTCTCGAAACTCCATGGTAAAATAAACATCGCGAAAGATTATCTAGACGGCCGGAGTCGACACGGACCACCTACCACTGTTTGAAACTCTGTTGTTTATTTTATTTTAATCAGGCACTAAACTCGATTTTTTAATTAATTCATGGGCATCAAGTCTAATTGGGTTATTAAATACATTGTAGGATATAATTTTAATGAGTATGTTAATACAAGTGGTTAAGGGAATAATAGTATATATATACAGTGTGGCCCATTTAAGATGGAAACACCCCCGTAACTTTTTTATTTGTAACCCGATTATAATGAACAATGGCTCAAAAAATAGAGCATAAAAAACTATTTGCATTGCCATTGTTAATTTAACGTTAAATTTACGTTATGCCTGTTAATTCACGTTATTAACGTTATTTTGTAATAAATATTCATTCAATTATGGTAAAATTAGTAAAATTTAACTTATGGTTAATGTACCTTTTGGTTAAAAAGAAGGTAATAATATTCCCTAATATTATTTGGTATTTTTAGTTTATTTTACCCATTTTTAAAATTGCAATGTTCATACAAACTTTTCAAATATTCCCAAGCAGCATTTTAAGTAAACGCGTAGAGCTTTGAGGCAATATTACTTAATTTAAGTAAATATTTTGTTAAATTAACCTTAAAAATTTACTTAAAAGTAAATTTTTTTTTAAAGTTATTTAATAAGTTTTATTTGTTATTTTTACCTATTTTAATAACCCTTAAGTTTCAACACTTTAAGTATTATAAGGGACGTAATTTTTACAAAATAAAATTACTTAAAAGTGTATTTCACCTTAAGGAAAATTTAACGGTAATTTTAACGTCAGAATTTTTAATGGTAAATGTTACTCATAATTCATAATTTTACAATATTAAGACCACTTTATAACTAAATAATTCCTATTCGCCTGGTATTTTTAGGGTTATTAGTGGTAATATTAATAATTTTTTTCAGGTCGCCATAATGAATTTTTTAAGATGTCATCCATTACTTATCTAAACATTTATATACCTAATATTTTTTCATAAATATTTTTCTAAAATATAATAAGGAATGTTTTAGTTATTAAAAAATGATTAAAACTAAATGATTTTTAGGATTTTATAAAATTTGGTACGTTTTGTTGAATTTTTAACCAAGCAATAATTTTTCTTAAAACCGTAAAATATTTAGAGGGCATATAATTTTTAAGATGTATCGTGCCTATTTTTATCAATAAAATAATGTGCGTTTGAGTTTTAATGCAAAATATTATTAGTTTTGACAATTTAAGTTATATTTTTAAATTTTACTCTAGGGTGGCCTTTATTACTTTATAAGTACCATTTTGTATAATATAAATTAATAGAACAAAGAAATTACGAATGTCAATGGTTTAGAAAGAGAGAGCAAAGTGTTAATAATAAATAAACCATTCCCCAAATTTGGTAATTTTTCGTATCTATACCGTTATAAAACCGTTTTGGTTAACCGTAAAAAATACAAGAAAGGCACTTTATTTTAACGATTGTATGACATTTAACAACTCTCAAATAACTAAAAACCAACTTTAGCCCGAGACTAAAACGCTATAGCCACAACTTGTTATTTTTGTGTCTTGTTTGAGACAAATTTAGTAAATAAACCAAGAAATCTTATTTAGTTATCAAATTTGACCAGCGGTCTACCAAAAAAAAGTTCTGGTACGAAATAAAATACATGATCAGGAAAAATATTTGTTTCTTGTTTTTTTTAGATACATATGTATTTAAATACAAAATTTTGTTAATTCTTTATTTTTTTTTATTTTAAAAGATATTAATGATAAAAAGTTAATTTAAAAACTAAATGTTTTTCTTAAAATCTTCTGTACCCACTTGTTGCCCGTAAAACCAAATAAACCCAAAGTTCACTTGACCAGAAAACGAACTGCAAAACAAAAATCGGCATTCTTATGTTAATCCCCATCGAGTAGCTGGTCACATCGGATCTTCGAGATCGAATTGACAGTTGTGTTTCTTTTTCTTTTTGGGCGACGACTATTTAAAATGTTAAGATAGCCGGCATTATTCCGCACACGGCAGATTCTCCCTATTTGGCATCGGACACACGAATTTATGGCCCAGAGAACTCGCTTCTCGCTGCTGCCTGCTGCAGCAGGACCGAATGCAAATGCACCGCAGGAAACGTACGACGTTAATTGTATAACATTTCGGGAAGTTTACAAGACTTGTCATAACATTTATAACTACATTGACAAAGAAGAAACAGGCTTTTTTGGCGGTTAAAAAAAGTTTTATTTTTATATTTTTCAAGGTTTTGCATGGGACTCCTGTTGCGCTTTTAAAATAGCAGGAGGTCTGATAAATCGTCCATGGGGTTTTACTAACAACTAGAGATGCGACTTGAAAAAAATCGGTCCGTTTTTTTTGTTTTTTTTTCAGGTTTTTTTATTGTTTTTTTTTCAAATGGTTTTTTTCAAGATTAGTCCCATTTGCCTAATTTTTTATGTTTCCAGTCCAGTTCGTGGACTAAAAATAGACACTAAATAAATTTCAAAAATGGTAGACAAATTTCAAATTAAAAAATCTTGGAAAAATTCAGTTAGTAGGAAAATTCAAAAAAATGGTAGGACAAATTTGCACAGTGACATATCTACATTTAAAAAAAAAATTGTTGGTTTGGGAAAATTTCACTTTTTGCTTGTACTTGAAATTTCACTTGAAATTTTCACGACATTTATGAAATTTATTAAAATTTCCTAAATGTCTGAAATTTTATGAAATTTATTAAATTTATTGAAACTTTCAATAAATTTAAATCACTTTAAGTGTAATATATTAATATTGAAATAAGCGGTGACCATGGCAAATTGCCTCTCTTACCTCCTACCCCTCTGTGGGCCCCTGACCACCAATAACATTAATAGTAAATACCTATAGGTTACATATATGTTTACCACAAATTTCTTGAGATTTCTTTTTAAAATATTTTTAAAATTACTAAAACTAAGAGACATATAGCACTTTTTGGTAAGCTAATGAGATTGTGCCACTTTCATTGCTTTATTTTTATATATTTTACTGAAATTTTACAAAAATTGAAGAAACTTCATCAAAATTTTATGAGCCAAAGGCATTTTTTATCTGTTTTCCGATGCAATTATAGCAAAAGTAAAAGTTTAAATTAATCATGGCTTTTAAAAAAATTGAAGTCTGATTTAATTTACAAATTAAATTGGTAACTGAATTAAATTATTTAAATTAATTTATGCATATAAGTAACAATAATTACTTATAGTGTATTCAAATCCAAGCTGAACTAAACAAAATCGCCCAGACGCTTGATAACTCGTTCTTATTGGTCGATTCGGAATCTGTTGTAAATTATTATTAAAGGTCCCAGGGGAGGCCGCATGTGAAATTTATGCGAAATTTTCACTAAATTGCGAAACTTTCAATGACATTTCTGAAAGTTTTACAGGCAATGTTGAAATTTTCGAATTGAAAATTTCATTTGAAATTTTTAAAAATTTCACTTTTCCAACTAAATGAAATATTTCAAGTTTAAAACTTTCAAAGTTGAAATTTTCATTTGAAAATTTTAACTGTCCCAACTCTAATCACACCGCGTTTATTCTACTTTAAAAGTTTATAAGAATCGACATTTTTAATACAGAGCAACAATTATTAGATTATTATGCATTTAATGTTATTACTAATTTTTATTGTAATTTTGTCCTGTTATTGGATTTTCTGTTGGGAAAATAAATACATTATTATTATTATTATTATTATTACATGTATTTTTATTATTATTATTATTATATGTATTTTTTTTGGATTGTGCTTCTGCGAAATTTAAAAAAAAAAATCGAGGTTAATCACTACATTAAAAAAATGAAGATTTGAGCTCTGAATATTTTGACAATATTTTTATATCGACTTTTTTGTTTAAAAAAATCTGTGGGGGTCACACTACAAAAAAAACTATTTAGTGGAATGACCCATATATATTTATCGTAATAAATTTATATCTACTATTTAAAATTCCTCCACAATATTTACCAAAATTAAATTTTTAAAATAAACAACCTCCTCATTAACTTTTCAACTTTCCCTGAACACGAAAACATTTACCATCATAAATCTCTTCTGTTAACATCTACTATACCTACTCGAGTTCTACGACTTGCAAGTGTTCATGGTATACAAACACTGTTAATTTAAATTTAGATTACCGTAAATATTTTATTATTAACTGTTTATTAATGCAGAAAACATAAACAGTAACGACTTTACGTTTCGTTTTACACCGCATGAAATGGACCTGTTTATTTTCATCAGTTCATGCACATGGTTCGAAATCAATCTGCAGGATTTCGTTGGGCAATTTTTTTGATGTTTTGGAGGAAGTTAAAAGGTGAGTATTTTGATTTGAATTAAACCAATCATTGGCGATGAAAGTTTAATGATGGGGTTCTGGATTAATTGAATGAAGAAATTTATTTACCTTTAGGTATGTAATATTTCTTAAGATTTTTGTATGACATTGTACGCTATACAAAAAAGATTTTTTTTTCGTAAAACCATCTTGGGTACCGTGACATGTCTATTAATAACAAATTATAACGTTTTAATTGACAGTGGCAGTGACAGTTTTATATGCAATGTTATTTAAAATCTAGAAATGAGTCCACTACTAAGAAAAAAATATTAAAAAAGGTGGGTTAAAAAGTAAAGCAACAAAAAACATGCAGCATGTTGAATGTAGCAAAAGTCTAAAAAGAAGAGCAGAAAAGAAAGAGAAGAAAACCATAGAGTAGAAGGATTATCTAATTAATTTATCTAATTTATTAAAAAAAAAATAACTTTTAATAAATAAATCAATACAATTGCTACTTTGCTTTTTCTTTCTTGATTACTTTTATTTTGATATACTTTTATTTTATATCAAACGGATTTTGATTTTTCCTATTAATTTAATTGATAGGTTTAGGTTTAGGTTAAGGTTTTAGGTTTAGGTCTAGGTATGTCCAAAACTAGATCAACAGTCTCAAACTCGAGTCATGTTGTTTTTTGGCCTTTTTATTTATGGAAATGTTATCACATGGCATAACATTGCGAACAAGTGGTGGGTTTTTTATATTTTTTATCTCGAAATGTTTTAATTTTGCCTTATACAATTGATTTAAGACTCAACGCTTATACATTATTGTAACTTATTTTGAAATTTATATAAATGAATAAATAATGACTATTATTAGTATTATATTATTATTATTATTGTGTTTTTTTAATAATTTAATTATGGTAGTCACCAAATAAATCATACCAAATATCCAAAATGTTTTTGATATTCTTAGATGTCATTTTACAAAGCTTATTTTAGAATGTTAAAAAACAATTAAAAGAATGTCAAGACTTATTTTAGAATGTCACAAACAGTGCCAAAGCATTTTAAAAATGTCAATTTTAAAAGGGCAAAGCTAATTTTATAAAATAACAATTCTACTCTCTAAAAATGAATTAGTCAAAAATGACTAATTTAATAGTTATTAGTGGCTGCTTTTTCACTTGTACCATGGAATACCATGGTATCCCAAAAATTTAACAGCCAATTCCTATGTAATATTATCCCCTAAACCCGAACATACCGTCAAAAATTATGAAAGTGAAGCAGTTTTTGAGATATAGTCAATTCCATATTAAATGGAAAATTGACTATATCTTAAAAACTTTTTTAATTTTTGACGACATTTTCGGATTCAGTCATTTTTGACTAATTCATTTTTGGAGAGTATAATGTCTCATACACAATTGTTACAATTGTACCAAATATGACAATGTTAAGATACATCTAAGAATATCAAACACATTTTTACAAATACAAAATTTATTTTAAATATTTAAATCAAATTTTAGAGTGTCAGGACTTAAGAATGTCATTTTAAAATGCCAAAATTGTGGATACATTCTTAAATAACCTTTGCCGTTTTAAACTTGGCATTTTTAAATGTTTTGGAGTTGTTTAAATAGGTCTTGACATTTTTATTTGTTTTTAAACATTCTAAAATAGGCTTTGTCTTAATATTGCCATTTTTATACGTTTTGGCATTTTAAAATGATAGTCTCGTAGTTTCGTATGCACTTATACATGTACAAGTGGCATATAAATTGACAACACAGTTTATCAATTATAAACGATAACATCCCTTGTAGTCTTAACAACTTTAATATTTTTTACTCGGAAACCAGATGGTTAATCTTTCTAAAACTTTGTAAATGTCTTTTAAGTAGACTACTACAACCTAAAAATTTTGAATCTTATTAAAATCTTATTTAGGCAGGTTTAAACGCCATAGAAAAAAATAATTATGTAACTGTGGTATGGAATTTTGTTCATAATTTTAATCGATCGGGAAAAACAAATGTTATCTTAAAAAATACTAAAACTTACCCTTCTGAAACCCATGTTCCACTCAACAATCTTAAACTGGTCTCCACCACTGTATTATGGTCTTCCAACGTTGCCAAAGACGCCATTTTTTCACATTTTGAGTTTTGACTTCTAACAGTGATTCCTGCAAAACAAACATACATTTTTTTATTTATTTTTTACGCCAAAATAGAACCAAGTCATTTATTATAAACTACATTATAAAGCAGGTTATATTTTCTTTTCTTTTATTCTCAAACAAGTCCCTTATCAAAAACGTTGTTAAAACGTCCCATGTAGCACTTAAAAGTTCGTAATTTATTACACCTAAAAATTGTATATTATACTTTTTATATCAACTTTTAAGTCTCCACCAAATTGGTAAGTAGGTATGTTTAATAAAATTTTGGTCGTTTAAAGAAATCTCCAAGTGGGGTAAACAGAATCATTGTTTTTTATTCGGAGGTCAAAATTATGGCATATTATATTTATCACTCAAATAAAAACACAAGTGGTTGGCTTTAAAAAACAATATGATTCAAACTGTGACTGGCTGGACCAAATAAAAAAACATATGGATGCAAACGTCTTACTGTTTTAAAGAGGCTGTAAAATAAGCCTGTAGAGGCCAAACGAAACATTTTATTCATTTATAAGTCAACCCTTGCCCAGCGTGAGCCGGCTTTTGGAATGTTTAATGCAGCATTAAAATTAATGTTTCTATGTGGATATTAATATATCTTGGTTGTACTTTTGACAGTGGTGTATGGTGAGATATCAGATAAAAATATTTCGTATGTGGATAAAGGTGATTTAAATATTTGTTTTTTGAAAGTCAGCTTTGGTTTGTTTGTTTTAGTTAGTTTTCAGATAGGCATATGCATACTAGGGTAGATTTGTGTATTAAAAATGTACCTGCAGGGAAAAGTGTGTCTATGAAGTTTATATGTTTAAAATATATTTATTAAAGTTAAGTTTCCTTTTTACTAAACTGTTAAAAAAATCAGATTTGTTAACATGAGTTTGTAGTTTGTTAATTTTATTTTTTTAAATTTATCATAATTTTTTGTAGAAAACCAGGGTTTGTAATTATTTTAACAAAGAATAGTACACTCACAGGCAAAATAATCGATAAACTTCAATCGCAAATAACTTTTTTATTTGATGTCAGATTTAAACGAATATTTAAGAATATTGTAGATACATTAATGGAGAGAAATATGGATTTTTAAAAAAACATTGCAATTTCCAATATTTTTCTCTATAGATTAAACACATAAAAAAAATTATTTTACCACACTGTGCGAAAATCATTAATCTGTCAACAGGACCAAAATCAACCCATATCATCAATTTGGCGAAACAAGAGATAAACAAAAATAACTTTTAACACCCTTGACACATGGTAACACAAGAAATACAAAATACAACTAAAATAAATAGACAAACTTTTAATCACCTGACATCAAGTGACGGGAACACGAATACAAAATAAAAATTAAATGAACAATACAAAATCCTAGAAAAGGGTATTAAATTTTCGTGAGTCGGACATAACAAAAATTAACAACACATAGCAAGACATAACATCGCATTAATAAACATTTTATAATATAACATAATACAACATACCATAGCAAACATATCAAATCATAGCAAAACATAACATAACATAGCAAAACATAGCAAAGTCAATTCATAATTATAACATGCGAACATTCAGGTTAAATAAATCATGCAAAAAAAAATCGGTTAAACAAAATAAAACCAATATAAAATAAAATAAATCCTAGAAATAAATTAGCAAGAACAAATTAACAAAAATAAAAAACAATATTAGACCAAACGAATCCTGGTTATTTGACATTAATTAAAAATAAATTAGCAAAATCCTGGTCACGTGACACCAATTTGTAACGAACGGGGCATGGGGGCAATTCATTAATAATTAAAAAGAATATTAAAACCACAAAAAAACTACCTTTGGCCAAAACACGTGATCGTCTAGTTTAAAGAAATTAAGTTAGGACCCCTTTTTGTTGTGAATACGGTTCTGGATACGTATTGAAAAGATATTTAAAAAGTAAAGAAAAAATATTAAATTAAAACAAGTTTATTAATAAAGGCAATTAATACAAGAGTTAATTATTGTTACTGTCCATTAATAATATAAATAAAAACATTTGTATTTGAAAAGTATGATTGATTTAAGTTAATAAGGTAAAACCTTAAAAACCCACATATACAATACAGACATGCATATATGTCGCACATCTCAACAATATAAATAATACAACAAAATCAAAGTAATCAATATGAATATAATAAATTATATTATCATATTGTTAAGATTATTCACCTACATAAATGGTAGGCTCGGACGGTGTAGAAAAGCAAATACACATTGAAATAATTATCAATGTACAGCAGCAAACAACAATAATGTGAAACATAAAGTATAATATAACTTAGGTCACAAGCAACAATAATAAATGGTATTTGTATAAATAAAATATATAAATAACATTTGGTGTAGTAGTGGACAACGGTAATGCAATTTAATTGTACAGCCATAAATGATAAATAAAATCAGGTATGATAAAGTAATAAAAGTATGTCAGTGCAAATCAAATATAGTAAAATAAAATGATTATCAATAATAATAAAATAAGACCATAAAACAACAACTTCATATCAATATCCCTATCTAACCATTCTTTGTCTAAATTGGTTACCTGGCATTATTGGCCATTGGGTGCGCCTGTCAAAGCAGAGCTGTATCCACCATCCTATTACCAGCAACCGGCAACAAAGTTCCCTAACTAAATAACTCATTTGATATGCCGAACTTGAAACAAGTCTCACCATATTAAATAATGAATATCAATTTATCAAATAAATAAAATAAGATAAACTGTACAAAATAACGTATATAAATGTTAAATATAAATATGTAGTAAAATGTAAAATTACATTACAATGTTAAAGTAAATGTACTATAAATATAATAATTATAAACATAAAATAATGATTATGATTTGGTTGTCCAACCACCAACATTAAGATAAAATAATTCAACTTATTATTTCTCTCACAAACAAACAAGTTGAATTAATAATAATAAAATATAGTTTAAATTAAATATTAAATAATTAACCACTCATTATGATATTTGTGACCTCAGATTATAATAACTAAATATAGAAAAGACATACCTATTTAAATAAACAACACTTTTCACTAAACTGAATTTATACAAAAAAACAATGTAATATTTGTTAAATTCCCTCCCTGATAAAGTTAAAGAATTTAATAGTAAAACGTCACTCTCCCTTCAAAATGCAAAACCAACTGTTACAAAATTAAGGAATTCAACTAATCCCTTCAACTGTCTAAAATATACTGCCTGCTCAAATAGCAAAACCAAACTATATGAAGAACTAAGGTTGCTATGGTCCATCCATATGCTATGGAGAATGACAGTGATAGTTTTGTTGAATCATCACATACTTGGACATGTCATACACGGCTTTGAAAAGCTATCAAATTGTTTTTTGCAAATTAATGTTTAAATTTTGAGGTGTCTTCTTACTTTAAAAAATGGATATGTTACCGACTGATGTTGCCAGAGCCATTAATTTAATCCAGGATTGACAGTCACAGTATTACGTGGCAAGTGTTTTAAACGTCATAAGAAGTAAAGTACAAAGGGCAACATTAGTCGGAGACATTTTTAAAAGTAAGAAGACATCTCAAAATTAACAAATTAATTTACAAAAAACAATTTGATAGATTTTAAAAGCTGTATCTGACATGTCCAAGTATGGGATGATTCAACAAAACTGTCACTGTCATCCTCCGTAGGCTATGGATGGACCATAGCAACCTTAGTTCTTCATACAGGAAAAATATTGGAAATTGTAATGTTTTTTTAAAAAATCCACAAAAATATATATATCGGGGTGAACCAAAAACAAAACTGTTAAGAATAGATGTGACTTGATAAATAAAACTTAATTTAGAACAATATACGGTTTTGCCACTCTACAGAGTGTCTTAAACTTATGGTAAAAAACATCTTTTTGTTTAAACCTGTAAATAAAAAAAAATCCATATTTTCCACAAAAATAAATATATCAAGGTGAACCAAAAACAAAACTGTTAAAAATATGTGACTTGATAATTAAAACTTAATTTAGAGTGTCTTAAACTTATGGTAAAAAACATCTTGTTGTTTAAACCTGTATATTATAAACGTACTTGTATTTTTTTAGTAATTTTTAAAATGTGAGCAATTCTCCATTAATGTATCTACAATATTCTTTAATATTTGTTTAAATCCGAAATTAAATAAAAAAAGTTATTTGCGATTGAAATTCATCGAAAATTTATGTGGATCGATTATTTTGCCTGTGAGTGTATTTTACCGAAAGTTTTGTAAAGGTAATATGCAATTTTAATCAGGAAATTATAAAGAAATTCGGTACAATAAAATTATAATTATATTGTACCGAATTTCTTTATAATTTCCTGATTTCAGTAATTGTGTGGATGTTATTTTTGTGTTTGTTTACACATTTTTTTTATCAAAGTTTTTTTCATTTAAGTTCCCAATTTTGTTAATAAATTTACAAAATGTTTGTTAAAATTACAAACTAACTAAACAAATTACAGTTGGTTATAAACTTAACATAAAGTAATGTGGACCTGGATTAACATAAAATCTGGTTAATATTTGGTTAAAATTAACCATTTTTTTACTGTGTATTTGTAAAATTGTATGATGGCTGAAATAGTGTTTTTTCCGGAAAAATAAAACCGGTATTTTCGGAATAAAACGGAAAAAAGGAAAAATTGGGAAATAAAAAAATAACCTTTGCATTTTTTCTATTATACGAAGAACCTACACGAATTGGATATTTTATCAAAATTTCCGAATTTTCAGAAAAATTGACTTTTTTATTTATTTATTTATTTTCTGCAAATTTCCCAATTTTTTCTTTTAAAATGCTAGCAATGCAAGTTGCAGGAATTTTCTTAAAATTGCTGTCCCTTAAAAAACTTTTTTAAAACCTAAAAATACCAGTAAATATGTTTAGTGTTTGTGTGTAACCGTACACCACTAAACCACATATGTGACAAAGT